CGTCATGGGTTTTAAAATCGTTAGAGATGACTCGATTGGTTATCAAACCAGACTCGAATTCGATTAAATTGGGCCATGAAATTACTTATGGGCCAAAACTCATCTTGAATTCTTAATTCCATATGATTAATACCAAAATTTCTTTTTGCATGGGTTAGGCCCATTTTAGCAATTTGGGTCTAATACATTCTTAAAAAGGCCCATAATAAATTCAAGCAATTAACTAATTTCAATCGAAAAAATAAATAAATAATTTGACTTGATATTAATTTTCACTAAATATTTGAAAAATTAATTAATTAGGTGTTTGAGGTTTGAAATAAGCATATGTGACATGTAACGTGACGTGGTTACCGGTTAGGGTAGTCCATTGGGCCGACAAGGCATTTTACCAAATTATCGTACAAGAAAAAATACATTTGGAAACACCCATATTGGATAATTCACTTTTTATCATTTTCCTTTTTGTATTTCGAATATATATTTTACTTTATGTGGACAACTACCAAATTCTTTGAGTTTTAGTTGTCAAATGTTTTCTATAACATATGTAATGAAAACTTTTCAATGTGAATATATATATAATAATTCATATAATTTGTAAATACTTTTTTATTTGAGCTAAGTCCCTTCATTTCCTTATAATTAACGTACGTTAAATTTACTAAACTAAATCATTTTTCCCTCCCATATCTTCCTCTCTCTCTTCGTTTTCAACTCAACTGATTTAAATTAGCTGAGTATGCGTCAATTGATACTTAATTCATTGGCGCAGCTGAGATGGAGAAAACAAACCGACCAGTGCTTGAGATTAAAATACTATCAGCCAAAACGATATCAAATGAAAACAGAGGATGCTAAATCGTAATTAGAAAGAAAAATCTTTGACTCACCAAACATATTAATGTTCAACAAAATAAATATGTGGAATTGTGATCCACATGAGATATTATTCCCCCCATCAACTTTATAATTTTTCATATTTACAATTATAATTGTAAGGATCTCTAGCTATGGTCCAAACATAACATTATTTTAGGTAAAGACTATGAAAAAAAGGAGGATAATGGTGGTGGGTAGGGAAACCACACACAAAAAAAATATTTAAAAATTTTAAATAAAAGAAATAAATAAATAAAAGAAAGATAAAAGAAAAGGGTCTAAACTTTTCTACTACCATATGATAGTGTCACTCAATCATTCATGTATGTGATAATGTGAAGGGATTTTTTTTTTTTTTTTAAAATTTGGTGCATATGCATGATGCTTAGTTTAGATGACGATACATGTGTATTACTAATTTAATCCTCTAAAACTAAATTTTATTAATTATTTAATTATTTTTATACTAATATATTGGAGGAACATAACCTAAGTCAACAAATTATAAGTAGGAAGGAGAAAGTCATGAGAGAGAAAGTACAAATGTCAAAAATAGATTTGTTCTTGTTTTGAAATTATTTTCGCTCTGATTATGATACTTATATTTTTTTCTTTTATCTTTAGAATAAATATCAGTTAGAGGAAAAATATATTACAGAGTTAAATACAAGTAAACATAAATAAAAACGAGCAATTTTATGTTTTGTATTTGATCAGACAAACAATTTATAATCAAAGCGAACACCAATCGATCTTGAGTAATTTTATGCTTTGTACATATTTTTCTAGTGAAGCTCGAGTTCGAGTCGAACTTACTAGTTTAAACGAACAGAAATATATACTCATACTTGATTCGTTAAATTAACAAATTAACACGTCCTAACAAACTTTTAACAAACAATCTCGAATCAAGTAACTAACTCACGAGTATTAACTATTAATGAGTGTTACATTATATTAAGCAAGTTAATATATTAGAATATGTATATATCTTTTTAGTAAGAAGGCATGCTCATTTTTTCCGGTCTATTCTACGCTACGCTGGATGAAATTCACTGAATAAATTTCTACAATTTATATACACATACACACTCACATTGATATGGGTAAATCAACAGTAAAATAATCACGATCAATCGTAAAAAATCACCCGATGTACCGATCACCGGTGTCACATAAAAATAGCCTCTTTTTCTCTATATATATACATACATACACACACATACATGTATACATAATCTTCTATATTAACACTTATCCCTCTCTCTCTCTCTCTCATCTCTCATCTCTCATCGTCTTCCGTCTTTTTCTCTCTCTAAAAGCAGTCATTTTCTCTCTCCTCTCTTTTGCTTTGTTCAAAGTACAGAGGTAGTAGTGCTGCAGCAGGTTGGCTGCTCAGTAGCAGCAGCTAAGCAGAGCGAAAGAACACACATATATACCTTTAGTCAGTACCAGTTCAATAACTACCTTTTTTTCCTTTTCCCATTTTGCCCTTCTTCTTCTTCGTCTTCTTCATTCGAGAATAACCAGAGAGAGAGAGAAATTACAAAATGATAAGCTGGCACGATCTGTACGTTGTGCTAACTGCGGTGGTCCCACTCTACGTGGCGATGTTTCTGGCGTACGGCTCCGTCCGGTGGTGGAAGATATTCACCCCCGATCAGTGCTCCGGCATCAATCGATTCGTCGCCATTTTCGCCGTTCCCCTTCTCTCTTTCCACTTCATCTCCAAAAACGACATCTACGCTATGAACTTCCGATTCATCGCCGCCGACACCTTGCAGAAGATCATCATGCTCGTGGTGCTTGGATTCTGGGCCAATTTCACCAAAAACGGCAGCCTCGAGTGGTCGATTACCATTTTCTCCCTCTCGACTCTGCCGAACACGCTCGTGATGGGGATTCCGCTGCTCATCGCCATGTACGGCGAGTACGCCGGCAGCCTCATGGTCCAGGTGGTGGTGCTGCAGTGCATCATCTGGTACACGCTCCTCCTCTTCCTGTTCGAGTACCGCGGCGCCAAAATGCTGATTATGGAGCAGTTCCCCGAGACGGCCGCCTCGATTGTCTCCTTCAAGGTCGAATCCGACGTCGTTTCGCTCGACGGCCAGGATTTTCTCGAGGCGGACGCCGCCCTCGGCCGCGACGGGAAGCTCCACGTCACCGTGAGGAAATCCAACGCCTCGAGGCGGTCCTTAGGGCACGGATCCTTCGCCGGAATAACTCCCCGGCCGTCGAACTTGACCGGAGCCGAGATTTACAGCTTGAGCTCTTCCCGAAACCCTACCCCGAGGGCGTCTAATTTTAACCACTCCGATTTCTACTCCATGATGGGGTTCGGAGGAAGACTGTCGAATTTCGGGAATTCCGATACCGGCAGACTCTCCAATTTCAACGTGGCTGATATGTGTTCGGTGCAGTCGTCGAGAGGGCCAACTCCGCGGCCGTCGAATTTCGAAGAGAATTGCGCTCCGGGAGGTCTGATGAACTCGCCGAGATTCGGTTACTACCCGCCGCCGCAGCCTGCGCCGCCCACTTCTTACCCCGCTCCAAACCCTGATATCGCTTCAGCTATGCCGAAAACTGCGAAAACCCACCACCACAATCATCACCAGCAGCAACAGGGCGGCAAGGCAAATCACGACTCCAAGGAGCTTCACATGTTCGTGTGGAGCTCGAGCGCGTCGCCGGTTTCCGAAGTCGGCGGCGGCGGCGGTCTGCACGTGTTCGGTGGCCAGGATTTCGGCGGTGCTCCCGAAAATTCCGGGAAGTCTGATCAGGGAGCGAAGGAAATCAGGATGGTTGTTAATGATCATCATCTTCCTCAAAACGGGGACACCAAAGGTAATAAAATATATTTCTTCTACATTTTTTTTAATTATTGTGGTCACAAGGTGTTTGATTATTTGCTTGTGTGGGAATTTTCTCAATATCTTTTTCCCCCTATTTTTAATGAAGGTGTTCCGCAAACCGGGAACTTTGCCGGAGAAGACTTCAGCTTCGGGGGTGGAGATGACGAGAAAGAAAAGGAAGGCCCCGTCGGACTGTTGAGCTCCACCGCCACCGAGGCCGCCGGAGCTAGAAAACACATGCCGCCAACAAGTGTGATGACACGCCTAATCTTGATCATGGTTTGGCGAAAACTTATCCGAAACCCAAACACTTACTCCAGCCTTATCGGCCTCATTTGGTCTCTAGTCTCCTTTAGGTAAGTAAAGCCTAATCAAGAACTTAATTAATTACCACAATTAGTTAATTAATCATTTTTAGTCAATTAACTGCTTATTATGAAGTTGATTCATTAAGGATTTGTTTTTCAGGTGGCATGTGCATATGCCTAGCATCATAGAGCAGTCAATCTCTATACTTTCTGATGCTGGTCTTGGAATGGCCATGTTCAGCTTAGGTCAGCTGTCTTGACCATCAATTCTTGGGGGGCGGGGGGCGGGGGCCAAGGGGTCGAAAAATATAATTTTTATTGAAAAAATAATTTTCCTATGTGGTCTGTGGTTGGGATTAATTAAAATTAAACGATACGGTTCGACTGATTAAACTTAATTCATTATTGACAACAGGTCTGTTTATGGCACTTCAACCAAAGATAATCGCGTGTGGGAACACGGTGGCCTCCTTTTCGATGGCGGTGAGGTTTCTCACCGGCCCTGCAGTTATGGCTGCAGCTTCCATTGCCGTCGGTCTTCGTGGGACCCTCCTCCACGTCGCTATTGTCCAGGTGATTATTTATTTTTTAAAATTCCTGCTTAATTAACTAATTCAACCAACTGTTTTTATATAACTTGATTAGATTCTTACATGATCTTGAAATGCTGACCCTTGACCAGAGCCCAGAAATTATATAATATTATATATGGATCAAACAAAAGCAAATCACATGTGTGATAATTGAGTGGATAATGTAACTTAGATTGATTTTCATTTGCTGGCATTCAGTAGCCTAATATAAAACAGATTTTGAGCTGTAAATTGAAATGTTCTCTGACATTTATATGTATTGTTAAATGAAATAGGCCGCACTTCCACAAGGGATTGTCCCATTTGTGTTTGCTAAAGAGTACAATGTTCATCCAGCAATTCTTAGCACCGGGTAATTAATTAATTAATTAAATCAATTTATTTATTTTATTTTTATTTTTTTATTGAAGTAAAAAGATTTAATTTTTATTTTGTTATGACATATTTTCAGGGTCATATTTGGAATGTTGATCGCGCTACCGATAACTCTGGTCTATTATATTCTTCTTGGATTGTAACGAGATTCTTCGTCAAAGTTTCGAGAAGACGTCGATTAAGTTGAAGCTAAGGGTGGAATTTTAATTTTGCATCAAATTCTTTTGTAGAAATTTGGTGTTGCCTCTAAATTGCAGAGCACAAAAAAGAAATCAACGAAGGAAGATAAGGTTTGTGGAGAGGGGAAGAAAATCACAGAGGAAAACAGGGGTAGCTTAAATTATTACACAAGTCAATTTTCTTCACAATCATTACGCATGTAGAAGAACCAATTAAATAGGCTTTAATCTTTTCGTATTATTTATTTTTATTTTTAATTCTCTTAATCTCGATCGTCTTGAATTTAAGGGGAAAACGTAATAGTTTTTTTTTTTTTTTTCCATTTCCCTTTTTTACTTTCTCCGGTTCTTAGCTCGTCGTGTTGATCGTTGGTTTTGTTCAATGTATTTTTGGTTCGTTTGTTTGTCGTTTAGTTACTCGATGATGTAAATTACCCTAGGATGTTTAATGATAATGACTTTAATTTGTTTTCTAGTAATTGTTATGTTTGTTCATTTTCATTTTTCACTAACTAGGTTACTTTCGAGTTGTGTCTGTCTGTACGATATTTTATTGTTGAATTTCTTTATACGGGTCGAGCATCGGCTGCCTAACCTTCGTTAAATTACGTTTTATAATAAATAATAAATTGTATTTTTTTTTTAAATGTTGAAAAGAGGGGAAGATAAACAAATCAAAAGGGGATCTTGATTGCTTTTGCTTTAGAGGTTTTAGGGCAATTGATGCACTTATTGATGAAGGTGTGGTGGTGGTGGATCAACAATTCAAAACCTTTCTTTTTCTAAGTGTGTAAAAATTACTTGCACGTGCGTACATCCTTTTCATTCAGTGAACTTTGTCACAAAGGGCATCTTTTTCCACTATTATGCTTCATCATCATTTTTGAGGATTAGTGCCATAAAAGGGGCATATCTTTTTTCCTTTTTATTTTATTTTTATTTTTATTTATTTATAATTATAATCGAAAATTAAAAGTTTAAACCCGAGGTTTATTAGAGCAATAAACCTCTTTCTTGTGTGGTTTTAGCCTAAGTATTTCATATACCTTGGCTTAATTAGTGTTAACCAGTGAATAAAAGATGTGATTCGCGAAACAATCATCGATTCGTTTTCTTCACAACCTATGATAAGGGTAGTCAATCTATGATTAAATAGTTTTATAAAAACTCAATTATATTATATTGTTATCTCTTAATTAGTCAAGATTTACAGTCATTTTTACCACAATTGCGGATTGACCCGAAAATTTATTGAACTAACAAACAACCAATAAAATTCAACTGAACTAACAAATAAAATCCAATTACTATTAAATAATTATTGCTATAATCTTATAACAACCAAAAGAGGTAAAATAGTTACTCTATCCAAATAGGAGATTGATAAATTTAGCAAACTTCAAGAAGCAAGTTTTCCATACTTCCAGAACGCCTTAACTTACGTTGAATGCGGTGTCGTATTGGAGGGGAACACACACGTGTACCCACGCTTTGGATTTCACGCGATCTGCCAAAAGATATCGTTAAACGCGCCATCCAGCTTCCGAAACCAAGAGATTTGTCAAAGGTTAATTGTCATTTCTGACCCTGGTATTCTAAAACCAGCTTTTGATAAATAAACGGCAAATGGCCCTATCCATGTGCAATAAGAGAAGGGTATTTTGGGAATGTAACTCACGGGAAAGCAACATCACGTGGGAGAGTGCGATTGGTCGTTGATCACTAGCAGTAAAGAGGGCTCTCACGTGGAATGTTTTTGGAGAAGTTTTTTTCACTTCACGCGCCACGACATGGTTGTTCTTACACTGCCTTTCATGACCCTATGTTCGTTTGTGTCGTTGACTATATGTCATGTTTTAAATAGAGGTGAAAAATCAGTCCAATTGGATTGAAACTTGTACTTTTGGAATGAAAATAATCGAAAAAAAAAAATAAAAAAAAAATCGAACAATTTAATTTCTCGGAATTTTTTATTTTGTTAGCCTGAATTTAGCAGCAATTGTCCACATATGCCTCGGTATAAGCAACACATAATCGAATACCGTGAATGATTGCGTGTGCTGATGTACTAGAAGAGTACAATTTATACTTTTCTGACAACAATTGATTTTATGAAACTGATAACATCTAAGATCCTAAAAGAGGTATCAGAGCCAAAATCATGAGTCCGATTCGGTAATTGAAAGTATGGGTGCACCGTAAGGCTAGAGTTTGAACTATTGGTTTTAGGACAATTGATAGCGTCTGAGATCCTACATATTTTTACCGATAACATTTCATACATAAAAGGAATGCAATTTTCGATAGACAACACAAATTATCCGAATTGTTGGAATTCGGAATATGAATATATTGATAAGAAATCGATATTTTTTTAATCGGAATCGATTAAAAAAATATATCTTATATTTCAATTTTTACCCCTACTTCTAATAATTCCTATAATAATTAAAAGAATAATAGATAAATAAATGAATGAACAATCTCTTTTGCAATCTTCAATTGTTTATATACATTTAAGTTGCTTAACTCCCAAACCAGCCAATAATTTTCAGAAAAAAAGAAAGGATTTTTTTTTTAAATTAAATAAGTAAATATTATATTCATGGAATGAAAGCCCATATGTCGTGTATATTTTAAGACCAAACAAAAGTTGGGTTAAGATTCGAATAGCACCAAATTATGCTGTGAGACCTTATTTTTATCAGTTATTTAACTTATTATTTATCGACCTTACCAATTTATTGTTTTCATGGTAAAATACTAAAATGATAATATTCTTATATTTTTATTTGCATGTGCACCAAATTACAAAAATATTTATAATTCATTAAAAAAGTGAATGTGCCTACTATAAAATTAAGCAAAAGCCAACTCTAACTTGGTGCTATTTTAAGGTATATATATAAAATGAATTTAAACACTTATTACAAACTGAACAACCCTAACATAGCTAGTAGTGTACAGGAGCCGAGCTCGAGCTGAACTCGGTTGATTTAGCGAGCTCGAACTCTTCAAGTAATTGTTTTTGGGCTCGATCTTGAGCTCGAGCGAGCCGTGCTTGTCGAGCTCGAGCCTGGGCCATTTTGTGTCTTTTTTATTTATTTATTAATTTATAGTTTTTATTAATATTATTAGAATTTTATTATCATAAATTACAATAAAAAAATTCAAAAAATAAATTACCCATAATTTATTTTTTAATTACTTTTTATGAATTTATTATTTATTTTATATTAATTATGTTTGAAATAAAAATAAAAATAAAAAAAACTCGTGAGCCGGCTCATGAGTTCATAGACAACTAGGAATGAGCTCGGGCTCAACTCATTAGAAAGCCCGAGATCGAAAAATCCGAGTTCGAGTTGAAGCTTTTGTCAAGCCGGCTTGCTCACGAGCCGACTTAACTCATTTACACCCCTACCTAACACCAATAGACAAGAACACTAGCTAGTAGTTGTCAAATTTTTTTCTCCTTGTTTTGTTGTCTCCAAAATCTAGTGCTAAATTGGATACTCAATTTTGTTATTGATTTATTTTGAGGCTGAAATTTGGACAATAGCTTATAGTAGTAACATTTTTGCTAGCTGTACGTTGTTATAACTTTTGTCTTAGAAAACATTATATTATGTATATATATGGTCCCGTCACACTCAATGTAATGTCTCAACAATATTGTGCATGTGCTTTTGCTTTCATTTATTCAACTGGACACACTTAACCTATTAATTCAACAATAACTGCAACATATATACATGGTAATTATATTCACGATTTTCGAAATGGGGGTAATTTTGTCATAATATTATGATTGCGGGCTTTTTCGTAAATCGTAATGCATATTGAGGAAATGGGATTATTTGCAAAAGATAAACCCCTGAACGGCTTAACCCAGACTAATAAAGGTACATACGTGTCACGATCCATTTTAAGCGTTTTATTAAACCACTTACAGTAGACCATCAATAATTTAATGTTCGATAAGTTACTAGCCTCGCTTATATAAATATTTTTCTGGTCCCGACTCAGTAAAAATGTACTGAATCATTATTTCTATATTTTAGTATTTCGTTAGATTAACAGAATTTTGTTAGGGTAAATTACAAACACCCCCCTGAGGTATGGTCAAATTACAAAAATCCCTCTCTTGTTTGGATAATTACATCTACCCCCCTCAACTATGATTTTTTCTTAGACCTCCACCTCTATGGTGCCAAATTCAACATAGTCATCTAGATTCTGTGAAATGTGATCTAGTTTGTACTCTTTTTGTGTAAAAAATACAGTTTCCGACGCACCACAAACTGATATATACAAGCTAAAAATCACATATTATGATCATCTTGCTTCATAATGTAGAGTTTGAATGGGATAAAACGGGTACAAAAGTGATAATATTCCATATAATCTCGAAGATTCCACTAAATTTGATGAGTTGAGGGGGTGGTTGTAATTATTCAAACAAGAGGGGTGTTTTTGTAATTTAATCATACCTCAGGGGGGTGTTTGTAATTTACCCAATTTTGTTATTATCCCGACTGTGTTAACTAGATCAACCGTGATCGTTGCAAGATAAAGTAGCCAAAATACTCATCGCCGGTAACTCGTTTTTTGACCTAATTTATTCATGAGAACATGTAGAGATTGAATTCCCAATCAATGTACTTATGTTGGTTAGATTTCTATATATACATTCTAAATAGACCAGCCAAGTCACAAGGGGACAATGACCTCACAAATATGGATATATATGATAATGCCTACACGTGTGCGCACACCTGCAAATCAAACCAAGCTACTCGATATACTCAATTTGAAATCGTTCGTTAAAAGCTCGATTTTTTTTTATCTCCGTTTGTTAACATCACGAACCAAAATATTTTCGTTCGACAATTCATAAAAAAGCTCGATCTCAATTTAGAAAATAATAAAATATTTCAAGCGAGAAAATCAAGCTGCTCGAGCTCAATTTATATTTAACTCCATTAATTAAAACTGGTTCGAACTCGACTCGATTTTTTTTTTTTAAATAAAAATAATGTGTGGGGGAATTAATTGGGAAGAACAAAGCATGTGGCTAGAATGAATCAATGAATAGAATGCATGGCGACAAGCAAAAAAGTGCATGAATGCATATATGGTGCAGGGTAGCTGACGTGGACAGCCGATGTGCCAGCTGTGCAATCATCGTACAGTTTCCGGCTTATATATATATATATATATATATATATATATATATATATATATATATATATATATATATATATATATATATATATATATATATATATGTCGACAAGGTGTGGTCTCTTCTCATGTGCCTGCCCATATCTTGTTCATGTGGGTTTCCCTTTATTTATTTATTTTTTTTATTTTTTTTATAATTATAAAATATATATTTAAATATATTAATTTATTTATGGAAAAAAAAAAGATAGGGACAATAGAAAGATATATAATTAAAGAGATGATTGATAGGAAATGCAGAGAGA